GTGTTACTGATAATTTGAGTTTTCATTTCTGTTAATAATTGTTTTATATAACTGGGTGCTCTGGAGTTTGGTGCATATATATTTAAGATAGTTATCTCTTCCTCTTGGAGTTTTCCCCTTACGAGTATGTAGTGACCTTCTTTGTCCTTTATGGTCATTGTTGGTTTAAAGTTCACGTTGTCTGCAAACAGGATGGCTACTCCTGCCTTTTTTTGGATTCCTGCTGCATGGAGAATTGTTTTCCATCCTTTGACTTTCAGTCTGTGAGTATCCTTCTGGGTTAGATGGGTTTCCTGTAAACAGCATATGGTTGGATTTTGTTTCTTGATCCATTCTGCTAGTCTGTTTCTTTTAGTTGGTGCATTGAGACCATTTACATTAATGGTTATTACTGTTAAATGCTGATTAATTGTAGGAATGTTATCTCTTTGCTGTTGCATCTTTATCTTTCTGTTCTGTTTAATTATTTGCTTTGCTTAGTGGGTTTTTCCTTTGTGTTTCTAAACTGTCTTTCAATATTTTTTGCAGGATTGGTTTGGTGTTCATGAAGTTCTTCAGCTGTTCTTTGTCATGGAAGTATCGTATTGCACCATCTATTTTGAATGATAGTTTTGCAGGATATATCAGTCTCGGTTGGAAATCGTTTTGCTTTAGGATCTGGAATACTTCACTCCATGCTCTTCTTGACTTTATTGTTTGTGCTGAGAAGTCTGCTGTGATTCTGATAGGTTTTCCTTTATAAGTGATCTGTTTTTTCTCTCTGACAGCTTTTAATAATCTATTCTTGTGTTGGATTTCTGGGATGGTGATTATTATATGTCTGGGTGTAGTTTTATTTTGGTTATGACTGTTTGGAGTTCTATATGCTTCACTGATCCTGATGTCAGTTTCTGATCTCATGCTTGGGAAATTTTCAGCTATTACTTCTCTAAATATCCTCCTGACATCCTTCATGTTGTCTCCCTCTCTTTCATTAATCCCTATCATTCTTATGTTATTCTTCTTTGCATCGTCCTGCAGTTGTTGAATTGTTGTTTCCTGATTCCTTGTTATTTTCAAAAGATCTTTCCTTTCCTGTTCACTAGCTGCAATCCTGTCTTCAAGGTCTGAAATTCTATCTTCACTTTCATTAAGGCGGTTTTTACAACTTTCAGTGGAGTTTTTTATTTCCTGTATATCTCTGTGCATCTGCATTATGTATTCTGTTTGTTTCTTATATTGCTCATCTAGGGATTCTATCTTTTTGTTTAGTTCCTCCAATTTTTTATCTGTGTTTTCTTTAGATATATTTAGAATCTCTTTCATTTCTTTTATCATTTCTTCTTTTATCTGGGAGATTATTTCGAGTTTGAATTTCTTTAAAGCTTCCTGGAGTTGCTTGTCAATTTCAGTGGCTATTGTGTCCGATATATGAGGTGGATGGGATATATTTTCTTCTATATACATCGCTCCTAGGGTTTCTTGAGATGGGCTGGAGGTTTGAGGTTGTAATTTAGTCTTTCGTTTTGTCATTTTCCTATATTTCTGTGTTTCAAGTGTTATTTGAAAGCTACCTCAGGATCTGTTGAAAATCCCCTTCTATGTTTGGAGCTACTGAGACTCTGGCACCACGCTACCCCAAGCCTTTGGGCCTACAAAACTAGTGGCTCTCCTCTGCCTGCTCAGAACTCCGCAGTTCCAGACAAGCTGGGCCTCAGGGACACTGTGCGCCCACCTGCCCCTTGGAAGCTCCACAGTTCTTCAATCGCAGCCGGGTTAGGGTACTCACCACAGGCCGCAGTGCTTCAGGAACCTGTGGACCCTCCCTGGTTGCAGAGATATCCACAGTCCTCCAGACACGCAGAGAGGCCTGTGAGGGCACCCCAGATCTGCCCAGCTCCTCTTCTGCAGACCTATGTCCAGGCGCGGCAGCTAAACAGGCTGGGCTACGCTGATAGTGTGGGCCCGCCCATCCGTCGGCAGCTCAGCAGGTCTCCAAGTGGAGCCGGAATGGGGAGGCTGATGTGATAGCCTCAAACCCACCTCGCCCCTTTGCTGCACCTGGAAGCCTGGGGGAACTCCAGCAGTCTGGGCGGAGATATCCAGAGTCCTCCAGACACGCAGAGAGGCCGGTGAGGGCACCCCAGATCTGCCCAGCTCCTCCTCTGCAGACCTATGTCCAGGCACGGCAGCTAAACAGGCTGGGCTAGGCTGATAGTGTGGGCCCGCCCATCCGTCGGCAGCTCAGCAGGTCTCCAAGTGGAGCCGGAATGGGGAGGCTGATGTGATAGCCTCAAACCCACCTCGCCCCTTTACTGCACCTGGAAGCCTGGGGGAACTCCAGCAGTCTGGGCGGAGATATCCAGAGTCCTCCAGGCACGCAGAGAGGCCGGTGAGGGCACCCCAGATCTGCCCAGCTCCTCTTCTGCAGACCTATGTCCAGGCGCGGCAGCTAAACAGGCTGGGCTACGCTGATAGTGTGGGCCCGCCCATCCGTCGGCAGCTCAGCAGGTCTCCAAGTGGAGCCGGAATGGGGAGGCTGATGTGATAGCCTCAAACCCACCTCGCCCCTTTGCTGCACCTGGAAGCCTGGGGGAACTCCAGCAGTCTGGGCGGAGATATCCAGAGTCCTCCAGACACGCAGAGAGGCCGGTGAGGGCACCCCAGATCTGCCCAGCTCCTCCTCTGCAGACCTATGTCCAGGCACGGTAGCTAAACAGGCTGGGCTAGGCTGATAGTGTGGGCCCGCCCATCCGTCGGCAGCTCAGCAGGTCTCCAAGTGGAGCCGGAATGGGGAGGCTGATGTGATAGCCTCAAACCCACCTCGCCCCTTTACTGCACCTGGAAACCTGGGGGAACTCCAGCAGTCTGGGCGGAGATATCCAGAGTCCTCCAGGCACGCAGAGAGGCCGGTGAGGGCACCCCAGATCTGCCCAGCTCCTCTTCTGCAGACCTATGTCCAGGCGCGGCAGCTAAACAGGCTGGGCTACGCTGATAGTGTGGGCCCGCCCATCCGTCGGCAGCTCAGCAGGTCTCCAAGTGGAGCCGGAATGGGGAGGCTGATGTGATAGCCTCAAACCCACCTCGCCCCTTTACTGCACCTGGAAGCCTGGGGGAACTCCAGCAGTCTGGGCGGAGATATCCAGAGTCCTCCAGGCACGCAGAGAGGCCGGTGAGGGCACCCCAGATCTGCCCAGCTCCTCCTCTGCAGACCTATGTCCAGGCACGGCCAACTTAATTCTTGTATTGTGTGATTAACTTTGAAGGCCTAAAGCTGGTAGTCTGAGAATCTATTTAGAAAATTGCAATACGCAATATAGCAACTTTAGGACTTCCTTCGGCCTTGTTTTGGAAATCCAATATTGTTCTCAGTATTTTGTTTTGTTCCATTTTATTGTTTTGTTTTTTTTCAGTGTTCTGTTTTGATTTGTTTTATTCTGTTCTGTTCTGTTCTTTTTGATTTTATCTTGTCTGCTGTTATGGGCAGCAATTTTGAAGATAACAAGAGGCATTATAATAACTATTGTTGATTTCCTTTTATCTTGTTTGGAAGTCTTGTATCAATTTTGCTGTTGTGTTTTGATTGGCTTTATTCTGTTTTATTTTGCTTGGTTTTATTACCTTTAAAATAAAATTGAAAGATTAACCAGCACACTAGCAAATGTTCAATAATATAGAAACATTCAAATGCACCCAAGGAGAAGATAAGTTGTTGAATAAAATAAAAAAGTAGAGAAAAATAGACAAAGAGATGGGAAATGGGAAGAAAAGATAAGAGTATAAGAGAATCACCCCAAATACAAGGTTCTGACAGTAAAACAAAATAAAAGCAATCAAAGAAAGAATCCCTCCAAATGACTCAAAACATCAGTTTTCAGATTAAACAGGCTCCTGCTTGCCCATTATAATGAACAAAAACAGATCCATGAATAGTACATTGTGGTGAAATGTATAAGCTCCAGAGAAAAAAAGGAGTTGAATCTATAAGATCAACAATAATTTTGGGTTTCTCAACATTAACAGTAATACAGAAGACAATCAGTCTATGACTTTGGGAAAACAAGTTCTGAGAAGAATATGAATGGCCAAAGTAACAATTAATGAAAGACAAAAATAAGGACATGTCAAATATGCAGATCCATATAATAAATTTACTGCCTATGTGGCCTACCAGAAAGTTATTGGAAGATTTAATTGCTCTTATTGAAAAAGTTAAGTGACATGAGATACTCGAAGAAAGGAAATATAACTTCAGAGTGAGGCAAAAGTAATGCCAAAGACAGAAGGGGTCTTGGATGAGAAGCCAAAGGCTCTGGGACTAAGTGAGGCAGTGGGTAGAACACATACTGTGTTTGTAAGTGCTGAGAGGTTTTGGCAATTTTCAGAGTTATTGGAGCGTAGTGAAAAATAATTACCAAACAATATTAAAATGAAGAATTACTAACTTCACATAGAACTGAAAGTTACAGAAAAATCAATCATAAGTGTCATGCAGCTCCTCTGTGACTTACATTCCTGTAGACATAAAAATGGTAGCAAATGTTGTCTCCAAAACGGTGATTGCATCAGGATGGAGGAACAGGAAGTGTACTTGTGCCAGATTGAGGACTAGAAATTGAAAGAGCTAAACTCACATCTGTCATCCTGGGGACCATAAGAAATCTTAAATGTGGAAAACCAAAAGGGAACAGTACAATGAGTTACTTGAATCACCTTGTGATCAAAGCTAACAAGCAAATTCTGACCTGAGTGTTTGTTCTAGTGAGGTCCGTATGGTGGTTTCCAGATCACACTTTGAATACTGTATGATGAACTCAGAGAATAGAAATAAATCCAAAGTGATGAAAGAGCTCAAAGTATTCATCTTGGACGGACAAGAAGTCATAGTAGGCAGCTATTTTTCATAAGAGCCTTAGAGAAGAGTTTGAATCTTTAAATGATGTTTGTGTAGAAAATAGAAACTAGATGCTTTGTTGGTCTATGAGTAAGGACCACCTAAATTCCCCTTCCCAGCCCCTCACCTGATCTGTGCACCAGTACCACATAGCTGTAATGGGCATTCCAAATACCATTCCTGGCCATGGGATATCTCCGGTGACAGCATCTCGAAAGAGGTGGAAGGAGTCTGCTTGAGGAGTGTAGCACCTGGAGCTGATTGTCAGATTGTCTCCCTCAGTTACAGATGGGATGGCATTCATATACTTCTCTATAAAGTTCTCATAGCCTCCAACTTCAACAAAAGCTGAAAAAGCATCAGATAAAGTGAAATATCTTACAGAAATCTAAGACATTTGATATTTATGATGCCTGCCATGATCCATGTCTTTCTAGTACCTTTACTGGCACTAGCGTGATAAGAGATTAAGTTTCACAAAGTACAGAAGGGCAACCTTATAACTTTTGTTTTTATGTTGTTCTTTAAAATTTTGATTCAGTGTTTAGCCTTATGATAAAAATAAAACTTATAGCTGATAGACTGATCTCTGTGTCTCATAGCCATCCTGATGCTGTGCTAACAGGGTGAAGTCATTGAAATTTGCCATCAGAAATCTCAACTCCTCTGAAGAAAGATAGCCTCTTCCTGACTCAGAGCCTGGCTCTTCCTTGGAATATGGTTATGGCGCTTCACTGTATTTTCACAATGTTATAGCAAACTAATTGGAAAATTAAGGAAAAGAAATTTGGGGTAGCATGTTAGATCTAATGAAGGAAAATAATGAGACTCTGCTTATTGGGCGTCTGGAATGGTTAGTTAGGTATAGAAAAAATTATAGTTGACCTTAAAAAAATGAGCCTAGACATTAGGAACCACTTAGTATAGGTTCAAATGAAGTAAAATTCATCAGAATATTATACCATTATAAAGTTGAGTTGACATTACCTTAATTTTCTGTTGAGTGCCTACTATATGCCAAACATGATGCTGGCATAGTGTGTAAAATGAACGTGCGAGGCAGTAGATCAGGATAAAGCAATACAAGGAAATTGTTTTTGTTAGGTAAATACAGTTTGTAACAAAAATACATGGAAAGCCTCCAGCATTCAGGAGGCTGAGGCAAGAGGATCATCGCAAGTTTGAGGCCAGTCTGGAATACACACAGTGTATTCAAGGCCAGCCTGAACCAAACAGTGAGACCTTATCTCAAAAAAAGAATATATATGAACCTGGAGATAAGAGAGTCTTCCTTCTCATTCTATAGATAGGAGAATTGAGATTTACAGAGACCACTGAAGAAGTACTGTGTTTAGAAACAGAAAAAGAACAGAAATATCAGTATGTTCTGGATAACCAAATATAATGTACAATTGGTTCTAGGAGTTGTCTTAGAGTTAGTACTATAGAAAGTTTCTGCAGTGATGAGACTGTTTAACTTTGAGCTGTCAAATTCTTCTACTGGACACTTTAGATACATCTAGGCCAATGAATTTAGTTGAATAGATAGCTGTAGCTAACTGCATACCTGTTGTGCTGAGATACCCTACTATCTTTGGGTATACACAGTTTCTTTAGTTTTCTGCCTCATGTGTCATCAAACTCTGTGATCAGGTGACTGTGATTGTTTTGTTTAGTGCATTTAAATGGATGGAGTGTGATAGTCACAGAACAGGGGAGAGACATTTCTTTTCACCTTGTCTCTTTTTTAATGTATGCATGGATGGATTATCAATGCAAAGATAAACAAATAGAATACTAAAAGAAAATGAAATTTTGCAAGCTGTTAACTAAATTTATCAATATTGGCTTGCTGCAATGACATAAGAGAATGAACGTGATAATATGAATAAGTGAGATTTACTTAGAAAAATTCAACCTATGTTTATGTATTCTAACAATGGATTAAATAATATATTTTAATAGAATATATTTTGTTTCCCAATAAATTAATATTCAGTTATCTAAAGTTTTCCTATTACTCAGTCCTTCATTTCAGCAAGATTCTACGTGACTGAAAGGATTTTGTGTTTTGAATCCAATACACTAATATTTCTGTAAAATTATCAACCAAATGTATTGATTTTGTCCATTCTGAACACAAGAAAATTAAAGTTAAACAAGCAAATTTACCTAATTAGTAATTTTTTATCTTTATAAGGAAGCCAATAACCTTTATGTTCTTAAAGAAGAGTTTTAGATCACACAACAAACAAATAGAAAATAGAGAAATTTCCATGTACTCCCTTCCCAAACCCACAGATTACCTCTCTGTTGTCATCCCATAATAGAGTGCACATTAGTTATAATCAGTGAAGCAATATTGACACTTTGTTATCAAGTTAGGTCTCAGGACATTTCATTGTTTGTGTTGTACCACTGTGTAATAATTTTTTAAAGAAAATAAAAATATTGCCTATTTCCTCAAGCAAGAAAGTAACCAGTCAAATCTTTCAGTGATAGGAATTATATAAATGATAGGAACATGTGACCCAACAGAATGGAAAGGCAGAAGCAGAGTAGTCAAACAGAAACAAGTCACCAGGGATCTGTGTGTGCCATGATCACTTACCAAACCCCATGAGAATAAAAGATCCAACCACCATGATGCCAGCTTGGAGAGTGTCTGTGTAAATCACTGAGGCCAAGCCTCCTGTGGAGAGAAGGAAGAGACAGGGCATTGTATGAATGTGTATATATCTATTTGTCTTCACGTCTGGGTTCCCCTCCATCCAAACCATCTAAAAGACTCAAAACAAAACTTATATAAGCTCCTGGCTGAGCCACAAGCTTGTTTTAGCATATTTATCTCCTTAGTACTTGTGTCTTGTATTGGTTCTCCTATTTTCTTCACCTTGTTCTGAGTGTCTTGCATTGAAGTTTCATCTTTGTGGAAATGTTATAATATTAAATAGGAGAAAGGGTAACATTTTAATATCATAAAAATTTCCTTTGATAATCCCTCAGTTCCCCATATTTAGCAGAGTTACATGTGCTAAGCAATTAATTAGGTAGCAAACCATTTTTGTTCTGCTAGAAAATATCACTTTATTCATTAATTGAATAAAGGAAATGCCCATTGGCCTGTATATGCTGCAGTGCCATATATAGAAATATGCGAACATAAAGTATATGTACATAAGAAATATGTGTACATGTGAAATATGTGCATGAAAAATATATAAGGGAGGGATCATTAGAGGCCAGCACAACTAAATAAAACACGCAGCAGACTCACCAGTGATGGTATAAACAGCAGTGATAGCCAGGAGGATGATGATTGCCAGGTAAAGGTCCAGTCCCAAAGCTATCTTTATAAATATGGCCCCAGCAAATATGTCTGCCTAAAAAGGGAATAATTAGGGTAGGGAAGAAATATGTGCTTCAGGCTTCTTGTTTCTCTGTTCTAATATTTACACTTTGCACCCTTTATTTTCCTAATAGATTCGTATTCATGCTTGAAGACTACATAAATATTCTCAAAACAAGATCTTCCAAAAAGCCTTAGAAAGTGATTTTGTTTTTCCCTCTGTATGCTTATAGCAATTAGTTTATTGCTCAGTTGGGTCACAAACTATCTGAGGTGATATTATCCTGAAACCTTTTTCTATACACTGAGGCTTAGGGAGTGTGAGTAATTGCTCATGGGAACCATTTTCATTGTGGTAGAACAAAAATATATAAACTAATATTTTTGCTCATCAATTAGGAATTTTGTGATTTAATGTGGTTGCTTTTATTTGATATATACAAGTTCAAGTCTGCTTCAAGAGGTAAAAGGGATACTTTTCCCCCTCTGTTCTGGAAAAGATTAAGCTACCAAAGAATTATTTGTACCTTGACATCTTCGACGAATTCACCTTCACTCTTCTCTACTTTTCCAAACTATCTGTAAGGTGGGTGTTGCTTTATAATCTTTTCAAGTCTCTTGAAACTGAGGCTCAGGCAATTTGTCCAAAGTCACCGAGATAGAAGGTGGTAAACTCAAGATTTGGATCTGTACAGTGTGACTCAAAAGCTTACACTTTTAAAACATTTTTTTGTACTTCTATCATGGGATTTTACTTAATAAAATATATCAGGAATATTTAGAAACATGGAGAACTATATAATTTTGGGAAGATGGTGGTGGTAGTAGTATACTTTGTGAACATGAATCTCTACAATAGACAGAATAAATAACATGTCCATGAAGTCCATAAGCAAGACATGAGATGCGCATTGTATCAAGGCCCGAGAGGAAATAGAAAATATGTTTCTGAAGGACTTTAGAACTAGAAATAATCAAATATTAAATAAGTATTCATTGAGGAAGAGCAGGCTACTTTTAGATTGATAGCTGAAACTGGAAGACGCCTTACCTTAATGACTAGTAGGTAAATGTAAAGGTTTCCTGGTAAAATCCTTTTTGTTGTTTTGGAGATAAGGTTTTTCTAGGCTCCCAAGATGATCTTGAATTCATTGGCTCAAGTAATCCTCCTGCCCTAACCTTTCAAGTAGTAGATAGAACTACAGGAATGTACCACTGTATTGGGTTCTTGGTAAATTCTGAGAGGAGTCAAAATAATGGCAGTTGAATGAACTCTCAAAAATAACTTCCAAAATTCTCTTTCAGAACATGATACTACATTGAAGAGAAATGTCTACAAATGGAATCAGAATTTAGAAAAATGAGAAACAATATCTGAATGTACATGCATTAGTCTTGTAGAAGAAGAGGAAAAGACTAATTTGCAAAAAAATTCTGATATTTTAGTTTATTTTTGTAGCAGGATGTGAGAGATAATTTTGAAACTATTTTACATGTATTATAGGACTAAATAAATATACATGTTAATGACAAAGGAAGTCACAGTCCTGTGTGTGTGATAAAGAACATATGAATATAGAATTTGGGAGGGCAATAAAATATATAGTAGAGATCAATTGTAGCTGGATGCATTAGTGTGACCTCCATTTCTAAACTTTGTGTATGTGTATATAATTGCAACAGATCTCATATATATGATGTATATCATATATGTATTTGTATTATATATTTTCCAATTCTATTTGCTAAAAGACCCAATAAACAAAAACAAACCAATGAGTACACTTAGCATCTAGAGTCTGTGCTCTAACACCCTTTTCCACTCAAAACAGTCAAGGTTACCCACTAAAGCTGGTGATCCTAAAGATGGAGTATGGTTGGTACAAAATGAGTCTGAAACACTTTGTTTTTCCAGAATTTAAGGAAGTAATCAGCACAGTGATGAAGCCAGTCAGAGGGCCTTCTACTGTATCAGTCTGATATAACATGAGCATCAACATAATTGCATAAAATAATTTTATGTAAAACAAAGATAATTAGGAACTTATGAGTTTCTATCAGTCATTGAGGAGAAGGGAGGATTTTGCTTTCAGGAGCATGCTGAAAGATGTCTAGTATCTATAGAGGGATTCTATAATTGAAAATTCATTTGGCAGCTATCGTAGAAAAGGTTGGATCGAGTTGTAATCATCTGGGGATACTAAACATAGTGAGAAAGTTTGAAGAGGAAAAGGTTACTGGAGTATTTAAAGTGTCTCACTACAGTAAGCTTATTAGTTACCAGGAAAAATAATTATATATTTCCAGAAATACAACTACTATGCAAATTTCCAGAAATACAGCTACTAAGCAAATTGAAAAGACTGTACTTTTATAATGTTATATATATATATTATATATTTCACTATTTCCAAAAAAGAATATGACTTATGAAGGTATCACTCATTCATATTTGCATGTACCTGTATTTATTGTTGTCTGCTTCATACTGATTTCCATAGGGATGATTATTTAATCAAAGGATTTTAATTTCTTTTATTGTTCCACTCATCATTTTCATGTAAAAAACACATCATCTTGTTACAAATTCCTTGACTTTTTCTATTATATAGAAGGCACCATTTTGATGGTTTTCAAATTATAGTAGGCATTGTCAATAACTTTTTTGTGGTAGCAAAATGGTATGGCACAGAATTTGCCATTAACTGTTTTTTTTTATGTTAAGGAGAAAAAAAGAAACAAACCATGAAGCTGGGTTTCAAAACAAGTTAGTAGGACAGTTACAATACTTGAAACATTATTATCTTTGTAGTATTTATTCATAATGTAGGATATAGGCATGATATTTTATCTAAACAATATTAGCACAAAACATTTTTTAAAAGAACAAATAGGAGCTAGTTGTATAACTATCATAACTACCTTGTACATACATACATTTTTTCCTTTTCCCTTTCTTCCTTTCCCCTTTCCCATATCAATTTTTATTTTTCAACAGTTTTCCTAATTCAGAATGTCTATTGTACCTTTTGTGTCCTATTTTTTATTCAGTTTTTCACACTAGTGAGACACTATGATTTTTGCATATATGGGTCTGATTAATTTCACTTATGCGTATGGTCTCAAGTTGCATCCATTTCTCTATAAAAGTCTCCAGTTTATGCTTCTTATAGCTAGGTAGTACTCCACTAAAACCACCTCTTTTTTAATCCATTCCTTGGTGGATGGGTTGTTTCCAAGATTTAGCTATTACAAGTTGTGCTGCAAGAAACATTGGTGCACATACACTGCTTTAGTATGATGTTTTTAATTCTTCTGGAAAAATACTCAGAAAGGGCATAGCTGGGTCAAATGTGACCTCTAATCCACACTGGTTTCCTATTCATTATAATTCTGGAAGCATTAACCAGAGCGATTAGAGAACAGAAAAAAGGAGTAAAGATAGGAAAGGAAGAAGTTAAATTATCATTATTTTCAGATGACATGATATTCTGTATAGAAGACTCCTCCTCCTACCCCCCAAAAACCACCTAAGGATCAATAGAATTAAATAGAAGATTCAGATGCAATTCTAAACAAAGTTAGCCACACCACCTTATCTTTGACAAAGGAGCCAGATATGTTCACTGAAAGAAAGATAGCCTCTTTAATAAATGGTCCTGGAAAAACTGGCTCTTCACATGCCAAAGACTAAAACTATACCTGAGTCTGTCACCATACACTAAACTAAAGTCAAAATAGATCCAAAGATCTAAATTTCAAAACAGAAACACTAAATCTAATGGAAGACAAGATAGATAGAAATTTTGAAGATATAGAGACAGACAGAGAGTTCATGAATAGTACCCAAACTGCAAGGGAAGCACTTCAAAGAATCAACCACTAGAATACTGTCTTATTAAAAAGTTTTGCACAGCAAAAGAAATCACTAAAAGATACAAAACAACTGTACAGAGTGGAAAAATATTAGTCAATTTCCCTCAGACAAAAGACTTGTATGTAAAACAGATTGAAAAAAATCAGGTTCCCCAAATTCAAAGTCCTAGTCCTGAAATGAGCATACATTTCTCAGATGAAGAAATACAAGTGGCAAATACACAAGTGAAAAAATGTTCAACATCGTTGGTCATTTGAAAAATGCAAATGAAAACATTCTTTTCAAGGAACAAACAGAAGCTAGCTATAGAACTCTCTCAACTATCGTCTGTATACATATATTTTCCCCCCTTTCTTCTCCTTTTGTTTTCTTTTTTGAACAATTTCTTCTCAGTTTACAGTATCTATTATACTTTTTGGACCCTATTTACTTGTTCAATTTCTCACACTAGCGATACATTACGATTCCATCTTGCTTCAGAAAGAATGGCTATCATCAAGAAATCAACCAATAACAAATGCTAGCAGGGATGTGGGGAAAAAGGAACCCTTTTCAGTTGGTGAGAGTGCAGACTGGTACAACCACTGTGGAAATAAATGTAAATAAATAAATTTTAAGTAGATAGTTCATTGGCAATATATAGATTCCTGAAGATAATGCAGTATTTCCAATAAAGAAGAATTGCAATGGTCCAGGACTTCCTGCAATAGGGACTATACTGGAACAATTGTGAACATCTTACTAAGTGTCATAGGCAGGATAGTGTCTCTATCAACATTAATTTCCTGATTTTAATATTTGCAACATGAATTTTGGTGGAGAGGCCACACTGACTCCGTTTCATCCTGGACATGCCTGGTTGACAGTGTCTTGGTAGACAGTGTAGGCCTTGAAACATTCTCCTCCAAGATAAAAGCATCAAGTCCCATGAGGACAAAAGCAAACAAGTTATATAATCTAAGCATGTACAATATGACTTTCTTTGTTCTTTATGCCTGCTTATGCTGGGTGGCAGCCATTTTGCTGATCCTTGGTATGTGAGTCTGTTTATTTTCCCTTTGTTTGCAGAACCCTTATAATTTTCTAAGAGAATATCAAGGTTTTGAAGAAATACAAACTAAAATATTTAGAGATTGATGGGCATCACATCTACAACTTCAATATATGTTTCTCCAGGTTGATAATCCATGTACAAGGTGATCACTTACTCAGTAGGGTGGAGGAGACTCTGGAAAGTCTTCTGTTTTTAGCTTCTTATAATTAACTATTTAATAACTAACTCTTATAGAATCAGTTATTAGGATGTAAAAGTACACAAACATTCATGTCTAAGGTTAATAATTATTAATACTGTTCAAAACGTAACCATGCAAAACAAGAATGGACTTTTTCTGTGGTATCTTTCCAGCTGACCACAGAACCCGCATGGTAGTGTACATATGGTCTTGGCATTCTTGAATTATTCTATCTCTTCTCTACTAACCAGAAATCCCCACCCCAGAAGCCTAATCCCTCAAGGGTCCATTTAACTGCTTCCATTCTGCTTGCATATGTATGTGTTCTCTTTTATTTTATTTCTTTTAGAACATGTTTGTGATGCATAATGATTCCATCCATTGTGAGGAGCTGGTTACAGGTACATTATACATCTCAATTCTTTTTACTTCCTCTTCCTTTCTCCCTCATCTCTTGGTCTTTTTCCCATTTGCAAAAAAACTATCTTCCAGTTTCCTATTATTTATCTTTTATTTCACTCTCTCACTTATTTATACTTTGGGTTGCTCATACAAGAGAAATTATGCAATATTCAAGCTTATGTGCCCATTAAATTTGAATCACTTATTGGAAAATGGTGTACACCCTTTAGAACCACAAAAGTATAGACATCAGAGCCAGAGAAAAACTGTGAGATCGGCAAATTGAATGCATTTGTAAAACATGCCATCATAATGTCCCTGACACCAGGAGCTCCTTTGCTTCTTCTAACTTTATCTTGAGAAGTATTTAAATTATCTCTCTGTGGTTACTTCCATTTCCACTTGGTAGATACCAGACCCTTTCCTCATGTACATAGAACACTGCAATTTTTCCATGAACCATTTCAGCTTGTAAGTGCATTTGTACACCTTGTCATAAAAGGCTATTCTGGTGAACTCCATGTGCTCCGGAATCTTTGTTAGCCTAATGCAACTATAAGTTGCAATCAGTGCTCACTTACTTTCGGGAGGCTCATGGACATATCTAAGCAGCTGACTTGCTTGCAGCAATTATTGAGTTACACTGAAGAGCACTAGTGAAAGTCAGCTTTTTTCCTCATGAAACTTGAGATACCTGCCTGGACTCTAAACTTGGTGAGATTATTTTATTAGTCACTGGTACATGAGGATAAATTAATACTCTTTCTCTCTTACTTCATGTGCTGCTGAAACTTCAAATTCCTATCTTATTTCATCACTGATAATTTCCAAGGAATAATTACCTTAGTGCTTATTTAGGTCATTTGTTTTATAGGGGCAGTCTGACGTAGGGTGAATATGAGAACAGTTAATATAATAATTAAAACTACTTTCCTTTTGACTCACGTGTCTGATAATAAAACAATGAAAATATAAACCTGGACTGACTCTGTGATACAAGACAAAAGTTATTGTGCAGTGGAAAGGGCGAAAGAGAAGAGAAATTTTCCTTTACTGTTAAGTAAAGGAAAATTTATTAAGTATTTCTTGAATGATATTAAGTATTTCTTAAGTATTAAGTATTTCTTGAATGATAGAAATTTTATTTTTTTCTGCTTTTACGTATCCTTAATCCTCTCAGAGGAATTTACAGTGTGTAGGCTCTCATGACAAAGCAAATCTACTACTCTGTGAATGGACTGTCTCTGAAACTCCATTTCCCTCATGAAATCTTGCTAGGGAGACCTGACAAAGTTTAAAACATCCATGTCATTTGAGCTGGTTATTACTGTCAGCAGTCTACACACACCATTTTCTGATCTTAGCATGGTGATCCCATCATGCAAACTATTGAAGTTACTCTTCTGGGAAGTGCTTAACTCACAGAAATTTTCAAAGCCACACACATGAAGAGGCTGAGGACGGAGAGGTAGACCTGCAGTCGATTCCCACCAAATCTCTTCTTGAGGTATTCTGGCATGGTCATCACCTGCGGAGAAAGACATCAAGATATGTGTGTTTTTCTTGAGGGAGTGAATGAGATCTCCTTTATGCTCTTGCAGGACTTGATTAGACACGAGGAGAGTGGGACACTCTGCCTTCCATTTGCAGTGCTGGAGTCAGAACCCAACACTTCACAAGTGCTGAGCAAGTATTACATGACTGAGCTACATTTTCAGTTTGAGAGTGAGTTTTTAGAAACCTCTTTTGCCATGTGACTTTTCTCTTCTACACATACGATGCCAGCTACTATCAGGCCCTCACCAAGCTGAGCAGATACTGATACTATGCTCTTGAATCTTCAGAACTGTGAGATTCCCTTCTTTACATAGTACCCAGAATCATTTAAAGTAATGCAAAATGGATTAAGAGCCACTGGGAATTTTCCAGAATTAAGAAAAATATAAGAGTTCAGATTGAGGGCCGGGGATTTAGCTCTGCGGCATAAGCGCCTGCTTGCAAGCAGGCAGTCGTGAGTTCGATCCCCGGTACCGTTAAAAACGAAAAAGACAAAAAAAAAAAAAAAAAAGAGTTCAGATTGAGGGGAACATGAATGAATCTCAGTGCTTCATTGTCTGGCTTACTGGTTTCCTGTGAATCTCTCTAACTCTATGTCTGTTGAGAATTTCTGGCCCTGATCTCTGCTCGCCACATTGAACCATTCCAGGCAGGTGCTTGCAGAGTGCCACGTCTCTTTTTCTGGGCTTTGCATATGGTCTCTTATTCTGGGCTGTGCTCTGTCACCCATTTCATCTATTTTTGTTGGCTAAACCTTGCTCATTCTCCAAGTCTTCATGAGACGACCCTTCATGAGGAGTGCTACTCTGATTGCCTGGATTGGATTGGGAGCCCTTCCAACATCACTCATTCCCTCAAGTAGATTCAAGACAGTACTTCCAGATGAGATGCAGATTTTCTGTTGCTTTTCTTCGTGGTGAGGAAATCATGGATTCGCTTTCATACAGGTGTTCCTGACACTCTGCACAGTGACTAGCAACAGGTTAGGTGCTCAACCAGTTTCTGAAGAGAAGAATCTTCCTCTTAATAACTCCAAGGCAGCTCTCCCCACTGACCAACTTTTATGTCTCTCTCCTACTGCTTGCTGGGTATGTGTACTGGAGCCCTACACATACCAAATTTTCAGCCAGTTCCAATGTGCGCGATCTCCTTGTCATGCATTGCCTGGCTTCCCTTTGCACTCCCAACTCGATAATGGAGGCCTCATGCATCAGGCCTCTGAAATTCAAATCTCATATTTGCTGAGTATTTCTTGTTCCACTGTCATCACCTGTAATTTGCCACTGAACTTGTCACCAATAACCAAGAAGCAGCTCCCTTTTCTTCTATTCCCTTCCTAGAGCCTCTCAAAGGATCATATGAAATTTTGCTCAAATCTCTTATCCACTCAGTTGTCTAAATGCAACTTTGTGAAACATGAATGTGGTTATGACTTTTGAGTGCCTGAAATCCTGTATTCCCCATCCCCAGGAAGACATAGGACATATTTTTGAAAGATAGGATATACACAAACCTTTTGCAATTGAACCCCACCTATACCTATACGTCCACCTCTAATTTTCACCAATTTTTCCCTACATACTCTCTGTTTTAACCCTAATTTTACTAGAAATCCAAATATGCCAAGTAAGGAAAATTTTAAGCTTCCATAGGTTGTTGTTTCTGATGTTCCAAGATCTGACTTTTCTATCCACAGAGGTAAGCCTTATCTCTCAAGATCTAAGTTAGATAATTTTGGGAAGCTAATTTTTTATTGCCATAACAGTCTCACTATGCAGTTTAAGGGTTGGGTTTGAACTCACTATGTAACCCAGGCTGGCCTTGAATTCATGATGATCTTAATTGCCTGAGCCTCCTCAGTACTGAGATTACAACTGTGCACCATGCATGGCAGGAAGCTTTTTTTTGGAAACACACAGGTGACCTCAGTTTCAGGATTTTTACACCAGGATTATCTCTACCATGGTAAGATCACCATTTCTTTTTCATTTAGCTACAGCCACATTCTACACTAGATGATACTTTAAGCAAGGAATTTTTTAACAATAGATGACGTGATAGTCAGTTACTCAGGCTTCATAATTGAATAAATAAATGAATTCTTGACAGATATACAAAGGCTGATCAAAATATACAATTAATGTTTAAATTCTGAAAACTAAAAGAAACATTGCATTAATTACCTCAAAATACTCCCTCTCGCTTTGAGCACACTAATTCCACTATTAGTCTCACTCTTTGAAGTATTTCTGGAAGTCCTCTTTTGTGAGTGTCTTTACAAGGTGTGATAAAAAATATGGTGAACGTTGCCACTGAGCAGCATCCATGGAGAGGTGGACCAGTGAAAACACTATGGAGTGTCAGCACCTACCTTACTTACCAGATTTGGCACCTTGCAGTTTCTGTTTCTCCCCTAAACTCAGAATGAAAGGGAAATGTTTTGAATTGATTCAGGATATTGAGGCAGCCATGGCAGTACAACTAAAGACATTCCTGACGGGCACTTGTAGAACTGCTTCTGAAAGTGGCCGCAGCCATGGGAGAATTGTGTCTGAAGTGAAGGGGTGTATTTTCAGGCTATTAAAGTCAATGTGTTTTAATGCAATAACATTGTGGTAATTTAAACAGTCACCACATCTTGCATCAGAAAGGTTTTCAAAGAACCTTTGTGGGTACTTACCCCCGCTTTGATGTAAATGGGGACAAAGAACCAACCTAGAACCAGCAATAGTGGCAGGGACTGCAAGAGACCGAGAAGAATGCAAAGGTAAGAGGCTTGGCTTGAGGGCCCATTATTTCATGACCTCTGAGTCAGAAAAGAAACACACACGCGTGCTCACCCACACCCACACCCACACCCACACGCACACCCACACACACCCACACTTTTGTTTAGGTCTAGTGCCATTTAACAATTATGATCACCAAAAAACTTTGCGTTCTTTTCTGTCATTCTGTTTCTGTCATTCACAACCTACCGTTTTGTGGGGCTTAGAATGTGATGACAGATGTGTGGTAAAAAGGAGGAAAGCAGTCTGAGTCTAGCTGGAAGAACATTAAAACCTGTGCCAAAGGAAATAATCTTGACTAGTAGGAATTATATATGGATTGTAAATCATGAAAAAGAAATTTGGAAACAGAAGAATATCCTTAGTTCCATCTAGGTTTTGCCAAATATAAATATAACAACAAAGAAATCTAGCATTTTTTAAATCAGTACCAGGGATCGTGAAACCTAGCATTAAAATGTAAGTTTTTACAAAGTTTATATTGTCACAACAACCAGTGAGGCAAGTAAAATAAGCAGTTATTATTGTTCAGAGAGGTGGAACGTGAGCCTCGTGGACATCAAGGGACCCCAAGGTCAAAGGTAAAGAGGTGCAGCAGCAGAGTTATCAGCAGCCTGATAGTTTCACTTATTAGTCTATAGGTCATTTTGTCCATGCCTCTGGAGGCTGGCTTCATTCTGGAGTTCATGGACCTGTCAAAACAAATCTCCAGCAATCTTATCTGGAGGCTGAATATATACTGATACAATTAACATAAAGGCAAAGAAAAAAACCTCAACACAGAAAGGGCAAAGACCTTCCACGTGAGGAAAGGTAAGGACATTTTTGAGACCACATCATGTCCCGAGACCATCCAGGAACAGAGACTGCTTAAATCTTCACGATGAACCAAGTTTCTCTCACACAGCTTCTTCCCCTCACCAACATGCCCATACCAAATGGGCATGAAGCACTAGAAATGATAAGAGAAAAGAACAGAAAACCTCAGAGTACTCAAAAACTATTTACGTCACCTTCCTCACATGGCTAGTCATATGCTAGATGTCAGGTAATACGAGTAAAAGAGGGTAAGAGTGCCTGTCTGTAGGGAATTTAAGGTCTGATTAAGTGAACACAGGTCCTACTGGTGAAATAACAGAACAATTAAAAGTCCCATCACGGGCTTGCAAATTCTACTTACTATTAAAAGTTTATTCCTCATTCTTTTGTCACTTTCCTGGTGACTCACTTGAACAATTTCTACTCATACATCTGGCATCAGCATCAGGAGTCTACCTTGACTTTTCCAGGCCTAACCCATCTTTCTGTGATGGACATCCCCCATGAATTCTCTTAATACTCAAGTACTTTCTTCTCCTGCAGAGTGTATGTTTGTCTACCCACTGGAACCTAAGCTTTTCAAATAAAAAGCCCTAGCTTTTTCTTTTTAAACAATTCTTTACTTCCTAGTTCAGGGCTGGGCAAAATGTTATCCCTCAGAGGAGAGACAAAAGTGAGGGCCAAAATGGTCAAAGAGGTCAAGTGAAAGAAGGGATTGGCTCAAACAGAAGTGACATTCCTGGTAGGGATAACTGCATGAGAAAAGCTCAGACGTGAATCATAACATGACCTGAAAGGCCGAGGGAGAATGGGTCCTCAGAGGTGCTCAAAGTCAAAGAGTGGATGAGGAGAAGGGAAAATGAAGACTGAACCAAAGAGGAGGACAACCTATGTGGACGCCAAGAAAAACCTGGGGTATGGCTTCATAAAACCTGTTGGACATGGTGTGATTTACTTACATGAGATTCAAATGCTGACACAGCTATCCCTGAAGCTGCACCTGTTCCAGCCAACCCCACAAAGTGACCACTGCCGATATTGCTGGCAAAGAGGGAGGCCCCCATCTGCAGTGCAGGAGCAAAGACTAGTGTTAAAGAGATTCAGATCAAACTTCTTGAGAGCAAATATTATTGAGATATTCCAATCATTACTCGTTAGAACAAGAACAGGCACATTGTGGCTCATGGATTAAATCTAGCCCGTCACCAGTTTTTGGGGAGCACATAAACCAAAGAGATGTCTGATTAATAAATCTAAATGGTTAATAAATCTAAAGAATATTTTGTAAAATGTGAAAAGAAAGAATGAAAAGAAATATAAATGTTGGAGACCAAATTAAAGGTATGAAATCAGCTAAACTTTTGGTTTAATATATTGTCTGTGTGTAGTTTTGTGCTACAGTAGTAGGGTTTTGTGGTTCCAATAACCTCTACAGTCTGTAAGCAGTAAAATACTTACAAATTTGTCTTTTACAGAAAAAACTTGCTGTACTTTGCATTGCTATCCATACTTTCCTACAAACTTTGAGTTGAACCTGTCTTTGGTCCCACACTCTTAGACTTCTATCAACCTTTGCCTCTTGAACCGGCAAGAACCCAAAATTGGAGGGAATTACTCTGTATGTTCCCAGTCATGGGACTCTGTTCTCATTAATCTTCTTTTTTTATCACCTTGTCTGCTATTCTTAAAGTCAAAGAAAGTTCTCTTGAATAGCCATAGTTCTGACAGAATAGTCTTGGTATAAGATCTTGAAATGCTTCTTCTATATCTACCTTTTTAGTCCTCTGTAAAATCATGTGTTCTATTCAAATGTTTGGGAGCAGAGAGGGCAACAATTCTATACTACAAATGATCAATATCTCTAAGGTGTTCTTTTTATTCAGACTTAAACATACACATATACACACAGGAAATTTATTTACAGGAAATGTCCTACTTACTGGCCACCAGGCCATTTGTCGACCAGCCAGGAAGAAACCGCCAATGGTGCCCCGGTTGGTCTTCAGCATTGCCTAAGGAAAAACAAAAACAAAAACAAAACAAAACAAAACAAAACATGCAGGGGGCTCAAATAACAGGCTTGTTTAAGATTCTCCACTTCCCAGATACCCTGGCCAAGGTGCTGCATTGGTGAGTATTTTATTTTTACTTAGTTTTTGCTATTCTAACAGACAGACATGTTTTCCTGGAAACTGTAACATTGTATCAATTTTTAATGAACTTGGAAATCATGGTTTTATACAGATTTAAAACTGGAAGGACTTCATGAGATCCTATAACACGAAAGATTTAAATGTGCAGATCACCAAGCCAGAAAATGAGCAAACAATAAGGGAAAATAAATGAAATGAGATGATCAAAACAACATTTGTTTTCATTATATTCAGTGTTGAAGGTGCTGAAAAGAACAAGTCTGTAATTCCTAGTTCTATTTCTTTTCAACTGGTGGGGTTGTGAGGAGAATATGTTAATTTGTAGTAAGCATTATTTATGTCACACACAAGTAAATGATTCATAAAGAAAGACAATGACACCTGTCAAATCTGTTAATGTTAAGAAATCACGCCACACCTCTCCCACCCTAAGACATTTTCCCCTACCCGTGATCCCCACCCTGATCCCTACCAGACTCTCACATACCCACAGCCCAACAGCCATCACCACCAAAAAATAGATGACAATGACAGAGATGTCAGCAGGATTTTTGATGCGCTCTGACAGTGCAGGCAGCTCTGGGGTCCTAGCCGTGGTGCTGGGGTTTACTGTGCTGGCCATGGCTGTGGTTGATGTAGTCCCCATCCAAAGAATGGCACTATCCTTATGTAAGTGCTGGGTTAATGATCAGCCACTGGCTGATGAGGCAAGATATCAGAGCTGTGTTCCATGCATTGGGACCTTTAAACCTCTCCACTTAATCTAGATTCTGAGACCCTGGTTTTCCATTGTTCAGCCCTGGCTTTAGTAGAGTGTGAGAATGAGAGAGAATGGGGGGAAGGAGCAGGGAGAGAGAGAGAGAGAGAGAGAGAGAGAGAGAGAGAGAGAGAGAGAGAGAGAGAGAGAGAGAGAGAGAGAGAGAGAGAGAGAGAGAGAGAGAGAGAGAGAGAGAGAGATATGCTGTGAGAATTAGGGGTGGAAAGGAGGAGTTACCACTGAGAGGAAAGACAACATATTTGAGACTAGGGTAGGGAGAGATACAGGGAAACAAGATGAGGGAAAGTAGGATGGAGTGTGGAGCTCAGTGGTAACGAGTCTGACTAACATGTACAAGACCCTGGGCTCAATGCCTAGTGCCACAAAAACAAATGCAAGAACAAATAAGGAAGAGAAGTACAGAGATGAAAGGGGTGGGACAGCTAGGTGAAATAGAGAGAGATAGTTCATTAAAAGACAGCAGATTCTCAGCCTAAAATTATTTCCCTTGAAAGAAGGATTAATTGTGTGTTTCATGAGCTCAAATCTCCATAGTTCTTTAGCACAGGTAATCTGAGTGGATTTACATGAAATCTCAGAACTCTCACAGTTTGAACAAGAAAGGGAAGCAGCTCTATTAGCACTGCACAGCGGGATTTTGGGGAGAGTTGGGCCAGAGATTTTAAAAAAATGTAGTACAAGTAGATATTGATAAAGAAAACATAAGAAGCATTCATTATTTCTATTAGAAATAAAATTTCATAACAAAATAGAGAGTAAGAGCAGTTAATATTCTGCCTATCACCATCTTATAAGAATGACCAAAATGTTACTCAGAGTAGACGTTATGGAAAAAAAGACTCTTACAAAGAAGAAATGAACAAATAAAAGGACAAATTTTTTTCAACAAAAAGAAAGTAGTGGTATAAATGAAATTTATTTGCATATATCCTAAAATATTTTTGAAACAATGGGATAGATAATTTGGTGAATCATTTGAACTTTTCCCACTTCCTATTTATCTTCTATTTTACTGTGATGTTTTCAATTCTTCTGGAAAAGTATCTAGAAGAGGAATAGCTGAGACCTCTAATCCAAATTTTATTTTCATTTGCTGTGCAGGAAATTTTTAATTCAATATGATTCCATTAGTTGGTTCTCAGTAGTGTCTCTTGTGCCATTGTTATTCTGTTCAGAAAGTCCTTGACTATGCTTATGTCTTTAAGAATTTTTTACTATTTTATTTTCCAACAGATTAAATGGTTCTCTCTTACATTTAGGTCTTTGATTTAGTTTTGATTTTGGTTTAGTGTATGGTGAGATATATGGATCTAGCCTCAATCTTCTGCATGTGCATATACAATTTTCCCAGCACTATTTATTAAGGAAATTATCTTTCCTCCAGGGTATGTATGTGTCTCTTTTGTCAAAGATCAAATATATGAATTGCCTAGGGTTGTTTCTGCTTTCTCTATTTTGTTTCATTAATTTATACGCCTGTTTTTGTGTCCGTGCCATGATGCTTTTTTTTTTTTTTTTAAAAAAAATCACAATAGCTTTGTAGTATAGCCTGAAATTTGGGATTGTAATGCCTCTTGCATTGTTTTTGTTACCAAAGATTGCTCTTGGCACAACTTCAGAGAAATTCTAACAGCACTATTCCTCAAGCTTTTTAATGAAATTGAAAAGGAAGGAGTACTCCAAATTCATTTCTGGAAGGTATCTTTACCCTGATTCTAAACCTAGAGATGGTTCTAACCAAAAAACAAGCTGCAGACTAATCTATTTAATGAAAAGTAATTCGAAAATCCTCAGGAGGATACCAACAGATTGTAACAGTTCATCAAAAATATCATGCATGATAACCAAGTAGGCCTTATTGTTAGAGACAAAGATGGTTCAATACACACAATCATTAAATGCAGTACATCACATAAGCAGAAGCAAGGAAAAAAATCATATGATCACCTCAATAGAGACCAAAAAACCTCTGATAAATTTTAACATCCATTCTTGATGAAACTCCTGAAGAAAATACACATAAAAGCACCTTACCTGGGTATGATAAAAATCATTTATGACTAACCTACTATTAGGATCATATTAATTTGGAAGTCCTGAAAGATTTCCCTGTAAAATTAGGAATAAGAGAGAATTTTCATTATCACCACTCCATTCAACATAGTACTCGAAACGTCAGCAAGAGTAATTAGGAAAAAAAAAACAATAAAAAGTATGTGTATAGGAAAGAAAGAAGTCAAAGTATCATTATTTGCAGATGGCATGACCCTCTGCAGGGAAGAACCAATAATTTTTTTTTTAAGATTTTTTTTTATTTAAGGAGAAAAAGAAAAAAATAGAAAAAGAGTACAAGTTATACAGAATTTCAGAAAACATAAACAGTAGGAAATTACTAGTTAAGAGATTACATATTGTTATCTTAGAAATAGTTGTTCAAGTTACAAAATTAAAGCATATAAAGTGGACTTTCAAACAGTGAGACTGGAAACAATTTTGTTCAATGATCCAAAAAAACTCAGTAATACGGTTATCTATCTTATACACTTAAATATATATGCAGTTATATTCTTTAGGGCACTTTCTTTTCCTTTCTTTAGTACAATGGCAAATACACATTTTGGGTTTTATTACTCCCACAGTTCTTATTACTGTTTTTTTGAAGACAGTAAAACCAAATGTGCCATAACAGAACAGAGTCAGTCAAATCAAAAGGATGGACATAATAGGTAATGTAAAAACAAAATACTAGGTGATCAACAATGGTTACCATACTGCCTCTTGCTATCTTAAAAGAATAGCCTATATCATCAGTTATAATAAAATTGAACAAAACAGTAAAGAATAAAACCAAAGCATTGGAGACATTACAGGACTTTAAAAGAAGATAATAGTCAACCAGAATGGGCATCATAATGAATCTTATTGTCTTCACAGTTTTGCCTATACTTTCGAACTTGGTACTATCAATCAAAGCAGAATAGAGGAAAATCAGTCAAGCAAGATGGTGAGAGCTATACAGGGTTTCAAATCAAGTTAATAGGAAATCAAAGTGGGTTACTACAATGTATCCTGCTTTTTTATTTTTCCTTTAATTAAAAAGATAAAAATAAAAAAGTAAATAATTAAAAAAAAGGAGATTGAAGGGCTGGAGATTTAGCTCAGAGGCATAAGCAGCTGCCTTCCAAGCAGGAGGTCGTGAGTTTGATCCCTGATACAGATAAAAAAAGAAAAAGACAAAAAAAAAGGAGGTTGAGATAAAAGAGGGAATAACAACAAACCAGTGCAGGTCAAAGCATAACCATTTAAGCAAAATAGTGTTTCACCACAAGATATCCTGACATAAAAGTAGTTACCGTAGTGTCTCTTTCCTTGAAATCTTTGAGTATAACTTCGTATATTGTAGCACCAAACATATCAAGACAATGTAAAACCATTCAAGAGAATGACAGTATTATAGGGTATTTAGAACCAACTATCAGAAAATGAACAATGGTTTCTGTATAATCTCCTTGTCTATAAAAGTTTTTGCTTATATTATCACATATAATAAAATCCAATAAGATGCAACCTGTGAAGACCGATGGAGACAGAAGAATAAAAGCTTGATAGGACTTCAAAGCAAGATGATACTAAATCAGCAGTAGCTATTATGATGTCTTGTTTTCTCCAAAGTTCCTACCATCCAACTTTCTCTGCCTCATTTCTGTTGAGCTTTTCTGTTGTTTGTTGTCAGTTTGTCTTCTTCATTTCGCTTTCTGCTCCATTCATTGTGGCCTCTCTGCCACTGTTTCTGAAGTCTTGGTATTTTCCTTTTTTAGAATATCCTGGAGTATTCTCTGTAGAGCTGAATTGGTGGTTGCAAATTCTCTTATCCTTATTCTCTTATCTCTTATTCTTTCCTATTCTCTTATCCTATTCTCTTATCTCTTATTCTTTCCTTTATCCTGGAAGCACCTTGTTTTTCCATCAATTTCTAGGCACAGTTGTGCAGAATATATCAATCTTGGCTGGAGGTTGTTATCTTTCAAAGCTTGAATTACTCCCCCCACCCTCTTTGTGATTTGATGATTTGTGCCGAGAAGTCTGCTGTAATTCTGATGGGTGTTCCCTTGTAAGTGATCTGTTTCTTGTCTCTGACAGCTTTTAGTATTCTGTTCTTATATTGGATTTCTGTAATTTTGATTATTATATGCCTGGGTGTAGCTCTGTTTGGGTTGTAGGTGGCTGGGGTCCTGTATGCCCCACACATCTGAGTCTCTTTACCTTTTGCTAAATTAGGGAAATTGTCTTGGATTATTTCTGTGAATAGCTTTTGCAGTCCATTTGTTTGTGTCCCTACTTCTTTTATGTTCTCAATTCTTAAGTTATAGATCCTCTTATCATCTTCTAGCCTTTGTATTATTGCTGTTTGTTTTCTTGTTATTTTTAAGAAGTTTTCATTTCATGCTCCCATATTACAAATCTGCCCTCCAGTTCAGATAATCTATTCTCAGTTTCTTTCAAGCTGTTATGCCAGCTTTTGATAGAGTTTTTAGTTTCCTGGTAATCTCTTTGAACCTGCTTCACATATTCTGTGTTTTCTCTATTTTCTCCATCAAACAATTCTCCCATTTTTTCTGTTCTTGCATTCCACTGTCTGTTTTTCTTGGGTGGTGCTTAGCATTTCTCTAACTATTCTACTTATATTTTGCTTTATTTTGTTAAATACTTCATTTTTAAACTCATCTGGGGCTCTGGAGATATCGTTTTATGTCTACTGGTGCTGTGTCTGATATTGCATGTTTTCTGTCTTCCTTTGCATTTCCCTTTCCTGAATCAGTGTTCTCAGGATTGGGGACTGAGGA